TTTACAACAATTTAATATCAACAAATAATTTTTACAACAATTAAATTTTTTTTTTTAATAGGGTTAGGGTCACAATGCACCATAAAACAGGAGTTTCAGGCACGTGATTTGTATCAACCAATGGGATTTGGGAGGTATGCAGAATGCAGAAGGTTGCTGAAATGATGTGTACGCAACTGCGTATCTGCATATGATATCTGCGCCTAACAAAGGTGTCACTACGCACGACTTAAATGTTACGTTTATAATCGTAGCAATAGACCTCAGATGAGCCCAGATGCTCTGCGGCTCTTGTTAGTGCAAGTCGCGGAACCCTCTATACATGCATACTGTACATGTACATGTACATTTAGTGTTTACACATGCACGTTCATGTACGTGGACACATACATATACTCATATCTATGTGTCTATATATAAAACTATTCATATATTCACTTACAAGTTACATGGTTTATAATATATAAATAATAAGATCATTTATTTATTCCACGTAAATGTATATTATGCAGAGTGAACAAAAACAAAAATAATCATTTGTTCTTGTTTAGTCCTGGTAGTATCCTGTAATACTAATCTCATATGTTTGTATAATTACCTAATAATATCATAGAGACTCAGATAGTAGTAAGATTAATAGCGGGGGTCAAAATAAAAAAAAACAACAATAGATGCTACAAAATCTCATTTTCCATATATAGAAGTGTTCGGTTTTAGGTGTAAAATGATGAGCAATTAAGATGCATAACAACAACTTATACTCCTCTTAAGTTCATTCACTTTCTCATAGATCTCTAAGCCAGGTGTGCCTCCGATAAAATTAGGGGTCTAACAGGGCAATTACAGAATGAGCTGGTAAAAATCTTCATAACCTTTCCATCCCATAATCGTACATAGTTACTCTTCACTTTCATGGCAACACACTTGTTTGTCCCTGAGATGTGGACCAATGTTGATCCCAACCCTCCGTATATATGTGTGTATTGTAACATAGTAAAACCACGGATTAAGACTCGTTGTATAATATAGAGATGTGAATTCGTAAACTCATCTATATTATAATTTATACGCTACGTCTTCGATCATCACTGACGTGCAGCAGCACACACACATGCCGTGCAAGTACAACCACTACATGTATATAAATAACTTCCCTACAGCGTAATAATCTTGTTATTTGTCGGAAACACTAGTTTCGTAAAAGTATAGTAATGAGGAGGTGGTTGGTTGCCATGGATACGCTCCATGATCCACTTTTGCTCTGTGCCGTTTCATCCTCAGCGCATCAGCATGGAGCAGGACAGTGGCGCCATCTGTGGAGTGGTGGGGTCGCCGCCACCGACGGTTGTAAGGTCGCAGGGATTGGATCTGGACTCACCGAGCACACAGCGTTACTGGAAGGAAGACCTACGGGTAAATATAACGCACGCACGCACGCACACATACACGCACACGTACATACACACACGCACGCACGCACACACGCACGCACAGCCTGTCACCGCTGCAGGTGTTGATGAGCGAGACGTTAAGCTGCTGTTGTTACTATGTTGTTGTTGTATCTGTCTCTCCTCTCACAGACGCTGGAGCTACAGGTGGACGTGTTACAGACCTACCTACACCGCTGCTGTTGTTACTATGTTGTTGTTGTTGTATCTGTCTCTCCTCTCACAGACGCTGGAGCTACAGGTGGACGTGTTACAGACCTACCTACACCGCTGCTGTTGTTACTATGTTGTTGTATCTGTCTCTCCTCTCACAGACGCTGGAGCTACAGGTGGATGTGTTACAGACCTACCTACACCGCTGCTGTTGTTACTATGTTGTTGTATCTGTCTCTCCTCTCACAGACGCTGGAGCTACAGGTGGACGTGTTACAGACCTACCTACACCGCTGCTGTTGTTACTATGTTGTTGTATCTGTCTCTCCTCTCACAGACGCTGGAGCTACAGGTGGATGTGTTACAGACCTACCTACACCGCTGCTGTTGTTACTATGTTGTTGTATCTGTCTCTCCTCTCACAGACGCTGGAGCTACAGGTGGATGTTTACAGACCTACTACACCGCTGCTGTGGTGTTATCTATTTTGTTGTTGTATCTGTTCTCTCCTACTCACAGACGACCGGAGCGTAACAGGTGACGTGTTACATGACCTACCTACAGCCGCTGCTTGTTTGTTATCTCAATGTTTGTGGTTGATTGTCTCTCCTCTTCACAGACGCTGAGCTTACACAGGTGGATGTGTTTACCAGACCGCGATACTACACCGCTGCTGTTGTTAACTATGTTGTTGTATCTGTCTCTCCTCTCACAACGCTGGACTACAAGGTGGATGTGTTACAGACTAACTACAACACCGCTGCGCTGCCTGGTTACGCGCATGTTGTTCGTATCGTTGTCTCCTCCTCTCAGCACGCACGCTGGACGCTAATGGCTTGGACTGTAACAGCACCTACACCTACAACCTGCTTGGTTGTTACTAAATGTTGTTTTGCTGTATTCTGTCATCTCCCTCACCAGACGCTGGAGCTACACGCGTCGCGCCACGTCGCTTACCAGACCTACCCTCACACCGTGCTGTTGTTACTATGGTTGAATCTGTCTCTCCTCTCGACAGGACCTGGAGCTACAGGTGATGTGTTAGCAGACGGCTACCACACCGCTGCTTGTTGTTACTTGTTGTTGTTTTTGTATCTGTCTCTCCTACTCACAGACGCTGGAGCTTAACAGGTGGAACGTGGTTTACAGACCCTACCTACACCGCTGCTGTTTTTACTATGTGTGTATCTGTCTCTCCCTCTCACAGACCTGGACGCTCCAGGCGGATCGTGTTACCAGACCCTACCTACACCGCGCGTTGCTTACTGCACGCTTGTTGTCATCTGTCTCTCTCTCACCAGACTGCCGCCTAACGCGCACCTGTGGGTCACGCCGAAAGCAAACACAACATATCGCAGCAGCTAGGGGTGAGCACTGAGGGCTACATGGCTGGTAGAATCCCACAGCTTATCGTAGAAATACATATATACACACACCTATGTGTGTATATAATTATGTGTGTGTGCATAGGATGGATGGATGGAAATGGATTGATTGATCGATAGCTAAGATAGATAGAGAGATGGATTAGATTTGAGAGATAGATGGCCAAAAGAAGTAAATACAAGCAATGACAGTAAATTTTGATCAATTTCAAGCAAAAGCCTTTTTGATTATCCAATGAATTTAACACAGTAATTCTAATAAACAAAATACAAGAATGCTATAATAAATAAATACATAATAGTATATATAATATTTATTTATTTATTCATTTTATGTATCAAACAATGCATGTATTTTACTATAATACTTCAATATTCCAATCTCTCATTCAGCGCACAGAATATGAGTTGGGGAAGATCTCGAGCATCGCGAAACAGTCGGAAGACTGACTCACACGGCGACAACGGATATGGATGATGGAGGAGAAAGGTATACAGCTATCTATCTATCTATCCTATCTAGTACTATCTATCCAATACTAATCTACCTATCTATCTATCTATCTATATCGTATCTATCTATCTATCTACTCTATCTACAGCCAGTCTGTCGGTCTGTCGTCCGTCCGTCCGTCCGTGGCCGGGACGATACCGCCTTGCGGCCCCGTCCCGCGGAGTAGAATTGCATGATTGTCCATCCGTGTCCGTCCGTTCCGTGCGGCGTCGCGTTAAATCAGTGGGCACAAATCTTAACAGCGCTCGACGTACGGTCACCGAATATTCGGGAAGTGGGGGGGGGGGATTGCGAAAAGTGATCGGCTCTGGCGGCACTTGTTTGTATCTATATTTATCCATGAACGAGAGAGAGAAGAGAAGGGAGACAGAAGAGAGAGAGAGAAAGGGAGAGAGGAGAGAGAGAGAGAGAGAGAGAGAGAAGAGAAGAGAGAGAGAGGAGAGAGAAGAGGGAGACGAGAGAGACGACAGAGAGAGAGAGAGAAGAGAGAGATAGAGAGAGAGAGAGCAAGAGAGGAGAAGAGAGAGGAGAGGAGAGAGAGACGAGAGACAACTTAGAGAGGAGAGACACAGACGATATGAGAGAGAGAAAGCTTGCGAGCCGCAATTTCGTCTCCTCATCGGTCTCCTTCCTTCGTATAGATGGGCGCCGGCAGCCGAGGAGACGGCCCTGCGTGGCGCAGCGAGTGCGAGCGTATGCGAGAATCGCTGAGACTCGCGTACCGTCTAGCCGAGATGGAGGCGGTACCTTCATCATTTGCCGGGAGACGATGAAGGAGTCATCGCGCGAGCGAACGCGAGGAAGCTGCGCACTCTGGTGGAGGAGCGTCGACATTGAGAGGTGCCACCTGGAGGCAGCGAGGGGCGAGCTGGGCGTACGCGGCGGCGGCGAGAGACGCAGCGTAGGACAAGGTGAGGCCTGCTCGCAGCAATTGCATGCCGGCGAACGGCGGTCCCGTAAAAAAATGCTTAAATTTGACTACGTTCAGCGAATTTTCGATGGTAAAATTTTGTAAAAAATTTTTGTTGTGCCATTTTTTTTACATTTAAAATTAAAGTAACGAAGCAACGGACTAAAACGTATCGTCCAATTCTGACCTGATAACATTGTTTCTCACTAGTTAGGATGCACGGCATTTAACCGATTAAAAGTGAACAGAAATATTTATATATATTTTTTTTTTACTAATTACGGTGACGTAATTACTTTAAACCGAAGTGGCAGGAAGGGTCGTCGTTTTGAACGCTTGTGGAGCCATTGATCTGTTTGGGGCACGTAATTGGTGTAGCTTGATACCGCCATAGCAACAGTATCCAGGGGCGTGGCTGCTCTCTCCGCAGACAGATAGATTCATTAATACATACGTACACCCATGTGTCGTCATCGTATGTATATAATTTTATTTTACTTGTTAATTAACTAAAATGCGTATCACATAGATTAGCGAATTAGTCAGATTTAGGAATGAAAGACAGAACTCGCTAGTAGTGTGGGAACTATCGTACGGGCGCTGATGTTGCACGCGGCGCGCACTGATTGTATGATACGCCTGTTGCCAGGACGACGCGATGGCGCGGTCGAAAGAGACCTCGGCGAGTCGTTGATGGACAGATCGCTGCACTGCGGGCGCGATAGAGAGAGCGGCGGAGGAGGAAGGCGGTGAACGTCGAAGGCACGCCGGAAGACTCTAGCAGAGATAGAGGAAGCGGATTACGGGAGCTGAGTGGGAGCTGGGCCAAGTACAGGAAGGTGAGGGTATTGATTGATTGGTTAATTGACGGCAGGTAATTGATTGATTAATTACGGATGCAGATATTGGTTAAAGTGATTGAAATGGTTACGGAATGCAGATATTGGTTACTGATTGATTGGTTAACGGATGCAATATTGTTATTGATGATTGGTTATTGTATGGCAGGTATTTGCGGTGAAGCAAGTAAGGATAAGACAGCTGCAACAGCAATCAGCGACGATCAACGAAACTCAAGAGAGCAGCAGCCGGAGGCAGCGCGCTCAGTGGGACAGCGAGCGCGAACGTAAACGCACGCGAAGCTGATCCTATCGACAGTTGAGGGCAGCAAGCGCGAGTACAACAAGAAGAACAGGCAATTTAACGATGCGGCGAGCGCCATTGGCGGTGCGGGAGTGATTGGTTCATGGGTCGGTGGTAGTGATTGTTTATCTGGTTCGAGTGGTAGTGATTGGTTCATTGTGCGGGTGGTAGTTGATTGGTTCATGTGGTCGGTGTAGTGATTGTTCATGGTGCGGTGGTAAGTGATTGTTCATTGATCGGTGAAATTGTTGGTTTATCGATGGTTTATTATTCGGTGGTATCAGTTTGTTTATTGATCTGTTGTATTGATTGGTTTGTTGATCGGTGGTATTGACTGGTTTATTGATCGGTGGTATTGACTGGTTTATTGATCGGTGGTATTGACTGGTTTATTGATCGGTGGTATTGACTGGTTTATTGATCAGTGGTATTGACTGGTTTATTGATCGGTGGTATTGATTGGTTATGATCGGTGGTGATTGATTAGGTGGTGGGCAGGCAATCCAGCAGCTGATCAGGATAATCTAACACTGAAGGAACCGAGTCGCAAGAGATGGTGGAAACTCTACTGTGTAAGGAAACATTGAGGAGGAGGGCGAGAGAGAGGGAGAGGTAGAGAGAAACAGAGGAGGAAGGGAGAGAGAGAGGGAGAGGTAGAGAGAAACAGAGGAGGAAGGGGGAAGAGAGAGAGGGAGAGGTAGAGGGAGAAAACAGAGGAGAAGGGAGAGAGAGAGCGAGAGGGGTAGAGAGAAACAAGAGGCAGGAAGGGGAAGAAGTATGTGAGAGGTAGAGAGAAACAAAGGAGAAGGGGAAGAGATAGCAGGAGAGGTTAGAAGAAGACAACAGAGGAGGAAGGGGAAAGAAGATAGCGGTAGTGTAGATGAGAAACAGAGGAGGAAGGGGAAGAGATAGCGGGAGAGGTAGAGAGAAACAGAGGAGGAAGGGGAAGAGAGAGAGGGAGAGGTAGAGAGAAACAGAGGAGGAAGGGGCAGAGAGAGCGGAGACGGTAGAAGAATAACAGAGGAGGAAGGGGAAGAGAGAGAGGGAGAGGTAGAGAGAAACAGAGGAGGAAGGGGAAGAGAGAGGGGGAGAGGTAGAGAGAAACAGAGGAGGAAGGGGAAGAGATAGCCAGGATGAGGATAAGAGAAACAGAGGAGGAAGGGGAATAGAATAGCGGGAGAAGGTAAGAGAGAAACAGAGGAGGAAGGGGAAGAGATAGTATGCGGGAGAGGTAGAGAGAAACAGAGGAGGAAGGGGAAGAGAGAGAGGGAGAGGTAGAGAGAAACAGAGAGGAGGGGAAGAGAGGAGCGCGGGAGAGGTAGAGAGAAACAGAGAGGAAGGGAGAAGAAGAGCGGGAGAGGTAGAGAGAAACAGAGGAGGAAG